GGTCTTGTTTGAAGATTTCCTCTCAAGCTGCTAATTGCCCGTCTCGCTACTATTAATTGATTGGGCATCTAATTAGGGTCCCACAGAAGGAATGAAGAAAACATGAGTAATTTTCCCTTGCGACTAAAATTCTCCATCACTATAGAAAGGAGTCCATTTTATTAACTCTCAAAACTGTCTGTACGCAAACTATCATCACAGAGAACAGGGGGATTGTTCTTCAAATAAATCATTGGGCAGTTGGGCACAACTATAAAACTACACTACAGCGCCTATATATAGTTTTATAACTCTCTAAGTAATTTTAAATTTTCCTATGATATATTCATTGCATTATGGACACTTGCGTATCAATCTAATTTATTTCATACTGTGTGATAAATATGTTGTTTTATATACTAATGTATTCATTATTAAATGCTATTGTATATGTGTACTGCTTAATGATAGGTATATAGAACCTAGAAAAGCATTTTTTATATTGCACCCAAACATTTTATTAATACATTATACTAAAATACAAATTATCTGAATTAAAATGGAGAAAGTTCCAGTGCCTTCTGGAAATATTTTAAAGGACCACTATAGGCACCCCGACCACTTCAGCTCAATTAAGTGGTCTGGGTGCCAGGTCCATCCAGGGTTAACCCTGCCTGCTGTAAACATAGCAGTTTCAGAGAAACTGCTATGTTTACATTGGGGTTAATCCAGCCCAGTGGCGTACACACAATCCATGGGACCCCGGTGCGAAACCGATCTGTGGGCCCCCCCTACTCTCTCTCCCCCGATCCATGCCCCCTCTATCCCTCCTGACTAGTGATGTCCCGAACGGTTCGCGAACGGTTCGCTGCGGACTCATCATTGAGTAAACTTTGACCCTGTACCTCACAGTCAGCAGACACATTCCAGCCAATCAGCAGCAGACCCTCCCCCCCAGACCCTCCCACCTCCTGGACAGCATCCATTGTGAAGCTGCATTCTTAGTGAGCTGTTCAGGAGGTGGGAGGGTCTGGGAGGAAGGGTCTGCTACTGATTGGCTGGAATGTGTCTGCTGACTGTGAGGTACAGGGTCAAAGTTTACTCAATGACGAGTCCTCAGCGAACCGTTCGCGGTGAACCGTTCGGGACATCACTACTCCTGACACATACATACAGACACACACACACACAAACAAATACACAGACGGACACACACACACATACATACATCCCTCGACAGACACATGTAGCGGTACTTACCATCTCCAGGGGCCGGGCGAGGTCCTCCTTCCCCGCCGCACACGGTCCTGCAACTGGACGAGCCGTGCGCGGCTCATCCGACGGGAAAGCGTGCACTGACCACACTGACCTGGCACTGGGAGCGCACAGCGCATAGCGGACGCGCTTTTAAAGGGACAGTGGGAGCAAAAAAAATAAAAAGGTCTCCCATTGGCCCATGTCATTCCACATTCCCCATACACTCATGTTTTGGGGGCGTGGATATGACAAGGGCCAATCAAATTAAACTAATAGGTATTTATACTCACCTTTCCCTTAACTCCCTGCCCTATCGTGGTTTCTGATTCAGTTCCCTTTAGTGCTTGCTTCGTGTAGTAGTGGTTTTTCGTGCTTGACCTTGGCTTTGTACCTGACTCCGTTTTTCTCTTTATCCATGCTTTGTCTTGTTCGCCGGTTTCCTGACTCCTGTGTACCAGACCTTGGCTAGTTCTTGTTTACGCTGTCTCTCTGTTTCCCTGACCTTGGCTCGTTCTTGACTCTGTCTTTTCCTGTCCACGTCAAAGTCCAGCCATTCTAAGGTCCAGTAAGACGTATATTGTTTTCTTGTCTCTCTTTGGACTATTCTTGCGTGTTGGGGTATACTACCATGACAACACATACATACACATACATACAGACAGACACACACATATATACACACAGACAGACACACACACAGACATAGAGACACAGACACATACAGAGACACAGACACATACATAGACACACACACAAACATATGGGGCCCCATGGATTGTGTGTAAGCCACTGCATACATAGACACACACACATACAGAGACACACACGTACATACAGAGACACACACATACAGACACACACACACATACAGATACACACACACATACACATACAGAGACACACACACATATAGAAAATGTTTCCTACCTTGTGACTTTCCCTGGGGTCCAGTGGGGGCTCAGCCTGATGGGAGTCGCGCGGGCTCGGTGTATGCTGGGAGGAGCAACGTGCAGTCACTTCCTCCCAGCAGTGATGTCATTACAGGGGGCCCGGTCGCGCTGTTAAAGCGTCCAGCGCTGACCGGGCTCCCTGACAATCCATATCCATCGGGTGGCCCTGACAGCATAGGCCACCCAATGGACTCCTCCATATGCGGCCCCTGCGGTTTGCCGCACAGGCCGGGGCGCACAACTTTGCAGCTGGTACCCAGCCGCAGGGGTGTGCAGTGCGGCTGGGCCCCCTGGAGTGCCGGGCCCGGTCACAGCTCCGACCCCTGCGACCGTGATATGTACACCGCTGATCCAGCCTCTAGTGGCTGTCTCATTTGATTTTCACAGTGAGAAGACGCCAGCATCCACAGGAAAGAATCCTTTCCTATGGACTGACTGAATGCGTGCGCGGCTCTTGCCGCGCATGCGCATTCAACCGATGACATCCAAAGGATAAGGAGAGTCCCCAGCGCTGAGGGAGCCCGGTGCTGGAGAAAGGTAAGATTTTAACCCCTTCCTCCCCCTTCAGCACGGCGGGAGGGGGGCCATGAGGGTGGAGGGGGACCTATTAACACTATAGTGCCAGGAAAACGAGTTTGTTTTTCTGGCACTATAGTGGTCCTTTAAGAACACATGCCTAAAATCTTTGAACATGCTAATATTTTATATTATGCATATCTATATGTGTTATGAATATAATTATTATTTTAAAAGACAGCCCGGGAATTTTAGGGAATTCACCCAATATATATACATTTTTAGTACCAAAAATATATTTAAATTAGAAATAATTTTATTTAGAGAAATTCCATTTTCTTTCCCAGCTCAGCTATTTTGGTCTAACCAATTTTTTTACAAATATTTTTTGAAATTCTTATTTTGATACAAAGCCCCACAGCTTCTGCAGGGAGATCTTATAAGGATTTTGTGGACGTTATAGTTCAGATATAAGCTATCAACTGCAAACTCTAATGACCTTAACTAGTTGAGTTGTAAGCTTTGACTGTAAAAAAAGCAAAAATAAGCACACAGTGACTGCATGGACTCTCGGAAAAAACCTGGAACCAAAACATAATAAACTGAATGGTGTCAGCAAGTGCCTGATATTTTGCTGTAATTATAAAAGGAAAAATACTTTCACCTAGTCACAGAGAAGCAATACAATGCATCTAAACCCTGGCAAAATGGAACACCACACTACCTTAATTCCTATGTTACTACATAAAGTTTACTGAGAATGCTCTGTAGGATAATGTATTGCAGGTTAACCTGGTGTTTAATTTACTACAGAACATTCAGCAGGGGTTTGCAGACAATGATGCTCAGTTTACATCTAGAGAAAGGTAGTTATTAAATATCTTAACTGACAGGGTCAACCATCCCAGACACAATAGATGCTTCTCTCCATCCATGTATCACTGGGCTTTACTAATTTAAAATTGAAATTAAATCCTGCTTTGTTTGGTGATAACACCTTTTAGTTCACCCAGTACATTCTATTGATTACCCACATTAAAACAATGCACACATCATTCCTAGTTTACCCACAGCATTCACACACTGTACAAATCATTGCCATTTACCTACAGCATTCACACACTGTACAAATCATTGCCATTTTACACACAACTTTTACACACTGCACAAATCATTCCCAGATTACCCACAGCATTCACACACTGCACAAATCATTCCCAGATTACCCACAGCATTCACACACAACTTTCACACACTGTACAAATCATTGCCAGTTTAGCCACAGCATTCACACACTGCACAAATCATTCCCAGATTACTCAGAACTTTCAAACACTGTACAAATCATTGCCAGTTTAGCCACAGAATTCACACACTGCACAAATCATCCCCAGATTACCCACAGCATTCACACACTGCACAAATCATTCCCAGATTAGCCACAGCATTCACACACAACTTTCACACACTGTACAAATCATTGCTAGTTTAGCCACAGCATTCACACACTGCACAAATCATTCCCAGATTACCCACAACTTTCGCACACTGTACAAATCATTACCAGTTTAGCCACAACATTCACACACTGCACAAATCATTCCCAGATTACCCACAGCATTCACCCACTGCACAAATCATTCCCAGATTACCCACAGCATTCACACACTGTACAAATCATTGCCATTTTACCCACAACTTTCACACACTGTACAAATCATTCATCGTTTACCCACAGCATTCACACACTGCACAAATCATTCCCAGATTACCAACAACATTCACACACTGCACAAATCATTCATCGTTTACCCACAGCATTCACACACTGCACAAATCATTCCCAGATTACCCACAGCATTCACACACTGTACAAATCATTGCCATTTTACCCACAACTTTCACACACTGTACAAATCATTCCTAGTTTACCCACAGCATTCACACACTCTACAAATCATTCCCAGATTACCCACAACATTCACACTGCACAAATCATTCCTAGATTACCCATAACATTCACACAGTGCACATATCATTCCCATATTATTCACAACATATTTTAGCATGAACAGTTCTAATTTGTTTTTCAAACTCACCCCTATTCTCTGCTCAGTGAATAAAGACCATAGTGTCTCTCTTCAAAGGTTTTCTGATTTACCTTCAGTAACTGTTTCATTTGGCAATGGTATTATGCAGATTTTTTTTTCCTGCTGTAAATTAGCATTATTACAAATATCCAAGGTAAAGTTTGGAGAAACTGCGTTTGTTCAGATGCAATTTTTATTGTATCATACACAGAATGTGAGAGGATCATGCTTTAAGTATGTACAGTTTTTTCAATATCAATATTAAAATAGTTATTTACAGATTAAACATTTATTTACTGACAACACACAAAAAATCTTTGCCTATAAAAATAATTTTTCACATTCATCTTTTATTTATTTTTTAACACTCAGGAGAGAGATGATTATAGTTTATCAGTGTTTTTTTTTTTTTCAGTTTTTTATTTTATTTTTATTTGCACATCAGAAAATTGAATTTACACAACCATATAACAGCCGGTGTGAGAGGGGACGGTAAACCAGAGCTGTGTCTGACATCCAGGCATACATAAAATTATATTTTATTTCATAACAGATTCATTTATTAAATCAGCACTCCATTAAATGAGATTGGCATACTTAATAACCCAAATGTGTCTAGACAAGAAATTCAGTGCATTGTGGGAAAAAATGTGCATCTGACTGAAGCAGCCAAGGACTTAGATCCTGATTCAATATTGTTGGATACGCTTTTCAAATGATTTAATATTTTTGGATAAGCTATTAAAATGATTTAATTTTATGAAAAATATTTTAATTTTGTAATAATTTGACATTTTTATATATTAATATACTTTTTTATGTATGATATATTTTTATATATATATATATTATCATTTTGAAAAACAATCTTTTTAAAAGTATTTCCAAAAAGTTGTAAATCATTTGAAAAGCTTACCTAACATTAAAGCGAGGCCATACAGGGTTATTTGCGAGATTAGGAATTGCGGAAAATTCAAGAAGGAATTGGAAGTTTTAGATCAAAACAGCTTCAGAGATGAGAATATAAATCTTTTCCATTCTGCTACTTTGTAATATGGTTTGTGCATTAATACCAAAATACACAGTGATTTTTAAACTAGTTTTTAAATACAGTACAGTACTACGCTTTCTCCTGTAACAGAATTGGGGTACAAAAAAACTCTGAATAGGTTGGGGCCATCTGAGTTGAAGATTATATTCCTGTGATATTAACATTGCAATTCATTATACCTCTACACTGGGTCTAGTGGGGTGTATTTACGTGTGCATTGTGGGAATGGTCTATGTTCATTGTGAATACACAGAGTTGTATATGCAGGCATTTGCACAGACTTGGAAGCAGTCTTCATGTTAGTATAACCTTCAGTCTGTATCTTTGCTTGTGATATCACTTGCACAATATCAATATTAGGTTTGACTAGGAGCCTTTTCGCCCATTTTATATATTATTTACTGTCCAGGACAGTCATATGTATTTTTAAATTTACTGCCTGTTTTCCATGACCAGCTAAGTTATTTATGTACCAAATGCATAGCTTGTAAACTGGGACTACAAGAGAAATATAACTGCATTCAATATATTGATCATGAAGGATAAAATGCTATAAAATTAGGATTACATCTGTTAATGCCAATGAGGTGTCCCTGTAATACCTATCCTTTACCTGCCACATTTATAAAGCAATGCTTTATAAAAGAAAAAAAATAGTGTCCAAGAGTTGTCTTATTTATCTCTACAAAAAAAGCTGTGTGATTGAACCGATTGAATGTTAAAATGATGTTAAACATAGTATTAGATAGTATCTAGAGTCTAGGGCAAGATAAATACACCACAAGTGAGCTGTAGACATTCCCAAAATGTTATGGCTTTAAAGAATAAGTAAATCTATAAATGTAATTTTGTGCAAAAATAATAAGTAAATAAAACGTATATTTTGTTATATGAATAGTTATTAATAAGTTGAAATGGGTGCTAGAAGCTGCAATAAAGACCATTACATTCATTTTAAGATAAATATTGGAAAAGTGACAAGTTCTCCTTAAAGTGAACCTCTCGTGACAGGCTCCATTTAAGCAATAAACAGCACTGTCATCCCACCCTCCCCACATCCAAAGTAGAATCTTTATGAACTACTCAGATTGACTGTGTTGGAATTTCACCGGAAGTCTGACCCAGTCAAAACATATACTGAAACAAAGTAGGGACTACTATGTCACAGTATTTTCCTCTGCCTTACAATAGGCAGAGCTACCGCCATCAACCATGGTCATTAGCCCCAGCTAATGTCACTAGCCCCACCAGTGATGGCTGTAGGGGAATTAGCTCTTTCTATACGGGATCACGACCTTGCAGTAACCTCCATAGATCTCAATGCTGCACTCTCGTGCATATGCGCTAACGTCGGCTCCTGGCAGCTAAAGAGGTTCAGCTTCAGGGTTCTCACCTTTGCATGCCTCCCCCTCCCCCAGCCACCAGACCCCAAGCGACAATGTCACTGTCGGAGGTTTTTGCATAATTTGCAAAGACCCCAGACGGTGAAATATACTCTTTAATCAAAGAATATATAATTTATTATTTTATATATATATATTTTCTCCAGTACAGTCCCAGCAAACATGATCCATGGTTTGCAGGTGTTTTACTAATGTAAGCAACTCCCCATTTCAGTGCCATCTGTCACTCCTTTCCTATATGCCTATACATGTAAAAGATTAATAAGCAATGACAGCTCATGTGCAGTAGATACTTTGAGGGAGATCATGAGAAGCACTCTCCTGCTACTATGCCAACACTGTATTGCCATTTTTCCATTATATTCTGCCAGGATAATACGTAGTTGAAATGTTATGGTATTTCATTTGAACGTAATGTAAGTGTACCATGATAGGAATCATTTATAACTATACGGCAGCTGAAGAGCAGCATTTATAAAATATACACCCTGTCTGGAAGAAATTTGTAGCCATACTATATTCATTTTCTAACAAAAGATCAGTCTAAGCAGCTATAACCTAGCCTCCCTGAGCTAGACACTGCAAAGGAAGGTTTTTTAACTTCCTTCTTTGATGTGTCAATTTTGTCCAAATTGCAAGTTTAGCGCCTGTATACAACAGGCATAAGTGGGAAGAATCTCACACTTGTCAAATGCCCTGTACCACCTCTGCCTAATATTACCATGTGCATAAACTGATAGCAGTCACAATGTGGCTGCCTTCAATTTATACTGCTGTTATACTGATTCTGTGCGATACATGGAACTGCAGCTGCAGTCAATTTCTGCTGAAGAGTGGTTTGCGGGATAAATTTTGGCATTAACCAGAATGAGGGGTGCATTGGTGGAACATTGTCCTGGTGAGTGAGTGGGTCTGACTGAAGTTACAGTGTGCTCTTAGTTGTTCAACTTTAACATTTTTTTTCTTTATTTATATATAATTAAATTCTATGTATTTATATAATGTATTAAAAATACTGATTCATTGTTAGTTGTTTTCTTTTTAAGCATGGTCCCAATACTCATGGCAGACATTTACTCTGTCTAGATCAATATTACCCTAATCTAACAAAAACATTTTTATTACAATGATAACCTAGGTTAAAATAAAAATACAGCTACTGTATCACGCCTTCTGAACTAATTAGGGATGACTCAGGTATGTTATAAAATATATTGAATTTATTGTAAGCAATTAAAGAATGATGGCTTTATTGCCTAGAGACTATGAATGATCTCCAGTGACAAACCAGATTGCGAAATGTAAGTCAGAATGGCTGAGTTGGAATAACAGATGAATTGGAGAATTATTCAAACTTGGCTAATTTAGCCAAAATTTGGCAATTTGATTGTCAGTTCATCCCAGCTCCCTATTTAGTGAATAAACAGGTTAGAAAACCAGTAGTTTTATTATAAGTGATTTTTTAGTGTTAAGTAAAGGTGTTGGGTCCTCCCTCTAATAGACACACTTACTTCCCGACTGGGTGTGTTCTGTAATCTACAAATTAAGGATGTGCTGTACTGGTACACCTGCATACTGGTGGGCAGCCCAGTAGGGAACAAAGACATGGGTTTTATAATGATGTCGTCCAGGAGTGGGGGTGCTACTGATAATTTAATGATTTTGGAGAGGTAGTGTATTCATTCTTGAGCTAAAGGAACCTCTCCTTCCCATACTGCCCTTCTCCCAGGATGTTGTCTCTTCTCCTCCACCCGCCCTCTATTTACATTGTCTAGGAGCTCCAGTAGAAGGCTTCCCTTGCTGCAGTTGAATGGGTCTGGCCCTTCACATGGAGGAATATAGTCAATGTTTTCTGATTCCATGTATCGTTTGCCTGGGTGTTGACGCTTCTCCACATCTTGTGGGTCTATAAGCTCTATATCCTCTTCCTCCTCCCATACTCTCTTGCCTGGGTGTTGACGTTTGGTGTAGGATGGGTTCCTTTTGCCTGGATGTTGCCTCTTGGAAACCTCAGTCAGAAGCCCCAAAGGAGAGTTATCTAGATATTGGTTTCCCAGGGTGGATCTCCTTCCCGGGTGCTGCCTCTTGGGGAGATCCAGATACCAATCTCCTTCCTCCCTCTTACCAGGGTGTTGTCTCTTATCCATCTCTTCCAGAAATCTTTTTCCTGGGTGTTGGCGCTTGGATATCCATTCAAGAGCAGAAGGTTCTGAGTCTGTTAAAAGGAAAAAATTAAGGTCAATATAATGAGCCAGAGTCTTGAGCTTGAGACGGTTAACACTTTGGATCGAATTGTGTGATTAATTCAATTCTAGGTTTCGTGGTATCAAGTATTACCAGTGAAATGTATCATTGAGTTAATTTTGTGGCAAGTCTTTAACTGGGCATACCGTGTAAAACTGTGACAAAGCATTGTAGTTGTGGCTGCCATTTTGTTTATAAGAAGTGAACAGACCCACATTTACATTTGGGGGACAAAACGTGAATAATTCATGGTCTTGCTGCACCATACATCAATATGAAAATAACAAATCTTTTGCCCAATAAAAATAATTAATTAGATATGGAAATCCTATGGTTTTAGAAAACTACATATGGGAACTCAAAATGGACACTTCAGTCTGGAGATGTCCTCCCTTTTGTAAGACATTTATATATATATATATATATATATATATATATATATATATATAGTTAACTAGAATATGCAAACAATATAATAAAAAAAGAAACAACTTTAAAATTCGTACATTTTCTTCAAAACCTCACAGTGTGCAGCTTTTCAATTGAACTGCCCTCAAACTAGGAAGTGGCTCCAACAAAGCTGATGCTGACATTTTTCTAAACTATCCAGCGGAATTTTATGGTAAGCACCACAGTTGCTGTCAGCTTCAATCATGGTTTAGTCAGTATCATAGTCTATGTTTGTATTATAAACTATGTATGGAGCATTTTTTTTACTCAATCAGTACACCATACTGTGGGCACAACTCTGAAAACCACTGTATGTGCTTCATTTCCATTTGCCATTTCCTGTGACTAACACTAATCACTGCTAATTAATTAATAGCTCTCCTCCCCGGATCTCTCTACTCCCGTTCTAGAACGTGTCACCGGTTGCCTCTTTTCCGTCTCCAACTTTATGTCTTCCCACTTTCTAAAACTCAATCATCCTAAAACTGAGCTTCTTATTTTCCCTCCTTCTAATACTATTCCTCCATTGACACTTTCCATGCACGTTGATAGTATGTCTCTCAGCTCATCCTTGCCCTGGTATTATCTTTGATTCTGGTCTCACCTTTACACCTTGCATCCTGTCAGCTAAATCCTGCCAATTCCACCTTAAAACCATTGCCAGCATCTGCCCCTTTCTTACACAGGATGCTACTAAGGAGCCTGTTCACAGTCTCGTAATTTCTCGCATTGACTACTACAATTATCTCTCTACAGTCCACAAAGAATGTCACTACTAGGCTTATTTTTCTCTCCCGTTGAGCTTCTCACACCTAAATCATTATATTGACTTGCCTTTAGGAATCATTAAAAATATTAACACTTTCTCTTAACGACTCTTGTTTCGAAATCTTCCCTTAAAGACACATCTGACTGTGCTGATTAGTAAATGGTATCTTGGAGACGTGTCAGATTGTACTGCTTTTATTGGGAACCTGTCCCAGGATTCCCAAATTGGTGTGAATTCTGTGTACAGAATGCAATTACTGAGGGAATGCTTGTGTCAGGCGTGAGTGCAAATCACTGGGTGTGCATGCTATGTGCAGGATGTGAGTGTGAGTGCAGGGTGTGAATGCTGGATGTGCATGGTATGAAGGGTGAGTACAGGGTTTGAATGTTATGTGCATGGTATGATGGCTGAGTGCGGGTGTGAATGCTTTCTGTAAAGTTTGACTGGTGAATGTGAAGTGTGAATGCAGGGTTTGAATGTTATGAGTGCATGGTATGAAGGCTGAGTGCAGCGGATGTGAGGTGTGAATGTAAAGTGCAGGGTTTGAATGTTACCATGGTGTGATTGATGTATGCTGAGTTGGTTAGTTCCTGATCCATGTAGCCTGATGTTGGCCTTAGACAGCTGCCAATTTTGCCCCACGTTAAAGCACCCCATCAGGGTTTCTACATAGTGCTAATGGCATTGTGACAGGGCAGCAAGTTACACACAATTTATGTGATGATTACAACCAGTGGTGATTGAGAATTGTCATATATCTTTTCTTGCTGCCATATCTTTGGCATTGTGGAGTCTTATTTCTGCAGCATTTAAAGTGTCAGTAAACCTGTTTTTTTTCTTGATTAAGCCTTGGTTCCCAAGCATTCACAGTCTGGCTCTCAATCTGCAGTATTTTCAGGAGACTAGAGGGCTACATTACCCAGGGAATTACTCTGATTGACTGATAACCAGCTTCAAGTCTCTCGCTCTGCGCTTTGCATAATAACATTGTAGCCTGAAGCCTGCCAGAACAAGCATATCTAGCAAAACTGAAAAAGCTTGATTATCACACACAGCACTCCCCACAATGACAGCACAATATATATGTAGAGGAATTTACCCATCTAAATTTCATATGTTTTCATTTCTTTTCTTTATGTATATTTGTTTGTAATGTCAAATACATAGAATTCAACAGGATTATTTACTAAAGTGAGAATTCAAATTCGGCTATACTGTCTGTTTGGCTATTGAGACCTTCAATTTAAAATTCACTTTTCAATTCAATTGGAATTTTCACTTTAGTAAATAACCATAAGATAAAACAAAACACAAATGCAGGAAAAAAATAAAAATCTAAATCATGACATTTTTTTATGAATGGTACCAAATAGTAACCATCAATTAAAATAACACTATTGAGTCATAAATATAAACATGTCTATAGTGTTAAAAACACATGTAGGGTTGCCCCCCTTAAATAAGTAAAACAAACTCAGCGCTGGCTCTGCTCTTGATCAAAATTGATGATCTTGGCCAATCACAATACTTTCCTATAGGAAACCACTGGATTGGCTGAGGTAGTTAATTCTGATAATCTCAGCCAGGGAGGCGGGGCTGGGGGCTGATACAACATGGATACAATAAGCATCTCCTGAAAGGCTGTGCTGCACACTGTGCAGCATTGACCCAGGAAGCACCTCTAGTGGCTCTTGGAGGATTGGCCTCTACAGGTGTTCCTAGGCACTAATGTAAACACTACCTTTTCTCTGAAAATGCAGTGTTTAGAGCAAAATGCCTGCAGGTACATGGTATAGACACTAGAACAATTACACTAAGCGGTTCTGGTGACTATAGTGTCCCTTTAAAACAAACAGCAAGGAAGCTATATCTGCTTCTGTTATCTAAGTGCATTTTATTTATTGACATAAAATATACACCATTTGTTTGCAGGAGAACCACAATGGAAAATATGAAGAATGTGCAATGAAAAGCACACCTCCATAATACACAAATATATATTGGGCGGCTGCAATATCTGACCAATCTATTTCTTCATGTCCCTGAGTAATCCGCAGACACCTGCTCACATGGGGTGCCTCTTCCAGAATTAAATAATCAGTTATTGTGTTCTAGACTAGAGTATAAGCTTGTTGCATGAATCTGCTTTGGCTGCTTGTAAAATGAGTAATGGCTCTGAAATCAGTGGATATAGCACTCTTGAATGAAACATGTGAAGCAGGAGCTGTGCAACATTAATGCAGATGACAAACCCGAGGCAACTGTGTGATGTTATCATGTTAACAAGGACCAGAATTTCTAAGGAACGAATCCAGAACCTTGTCGAATTTATATCATGAAGAATTCAGACTGTTCAGGAACAAAGTAGGGCTCCAAAGAAAGGGGAACCTAATACACTAAACTTCCAATTCTACCGAATTATCATCCAAATTGTAACACTGAGGCAAACAGCTGATGTGGACTCACATCTATAGTCACAACTTCATTATTTATGCTTCAATTTTGCATTTCGGGTTTTAATTGTGTAATCCAGATTATAGTGAATTGTATTTTGTACAATGATTCTTAGTATTAGTGTGAATAAAAAAAACTATAATAAAACGGCAATATTCTGAACTCTTTTTTTTTTTGTTTCACACACAGAAATATCTCTAAAACGTGTGACTGTGGAGTAACATTCTCAAAGTGCAGCCATTACCAAAGAAACAAATATGTTCCATATAATTCCATTAGCCAGTTGCCCCATTTTTAGAACTCAGACCAAATATTCTATTACTGACACTTCCATAAATCTCCCCCAAAGCATCTACCCAGATCAATATGAGATTGGGGTCCAAACTCCAACATACCTTTGTCGTTCTGTTCTTCCTCATCCATCCTCCGGAGGATGCTTCTAAGCAGGATTCCTTGGGCCTTCTGAAGCATTTCATTTAGGTCCACACTGTCTTCTGTCTGCGTTTCCTCCTCGTCTGGCAGAGACTGCTCTTGTGTACCCACCATTTGCGATAATGCAGCTCCTAGGAGCAGCAGCCACCAGGTGGATGTCATCTCTGCTGCAACACAGAACATATATTTCCAAATGGCTATTATTATCATCAATATCTCTTACTTGTGGGGAGCTAACTCAGTCCACAGAGTTGTACAATGGAAATTCCTCCATAAATGTGATGTTCCTAATCTAGGAATTGTCGTCACCAGGCTCTGGTTATTAAACAGTTACTATTTTAGCAAGAATTATCTGTTAACACAAAAGCCACAATTTGCATTTAATTATACCAAATCAACACACTGATATACAGCCCCTTAAACCTGGCTCCAGGAATAATGGTAACCTATAATTTTTCTATGAGATTAGTTTAACAGCAGGGCTCGAGTCCTGGGAACACCAATCCTGCACTTTTTCCACAGCAGGAACACCGTTCCTGTTAGTAGTCTTGCAGGCAGGGCCGGCACTACCATAAGGCGGCCCATGGGGCGTGATCTGCGGGTGACCGGCAGGAGGAGAGCGCCCTTTACAGGACTCCCCTCCTGCAGGTCACTGCATGTAGTGTGGTCGAACGGGTGGACCGCGACCTACCCGGTCTGACAGGAAATACAACAAACTACTTCCTGTCAGACCGGGACAGGAAACAGGATCCTCCGCGGACTGCCCACTCAGCCACATGGATGGAGGTGCGGGGGACAGAATGAGAGGTATAGAGAACAACGGGAGGGGGGGGCAATAACTTATACGGGGGGGACAATAATAGGTATGGGGGGATAATAATAAGTAGATAAGCGGAGGTGGGGCAATAAAAAGTTACAGGAGGGGGAGGGGAGCATAAAAGGTACAGGAGGGAGAGGGGCAATAAAAGTGACAGGAGGGAGGGGGACAATAATAAGTAGATAAGCGGAGGGGGCAATAAAAGTTACAGGAGGGAAGGGGAACAATAATAGGTACAGGAGGGAGGGGGCAATAAAAGTTACAGGAGGGAGGGGGACAATAATAGGTAAAGGAGTGGAGGTGGGACAATGATAGGTAAAGGAGGGAGTGGGGACAATGATAGGTACAGGGGAGGGGGGAACAATGATAGGTAAAGGAGGGGGGACAATGATAGGTACAGGAGGGGAGGGGGGACAATAATAGGTACGGGGGGCAATAAATGATACAGGAGGGGAGGGGGACAATAAAAGGTACAGGAGGGGGGCAATAATAGATACAAGAGGGGATAGAATTTTATCATCACAGGATTTTACCAACTCCCACCTTGGTGAACAGACTAGTAAGTCATAAATTTCTCAGAGGATACATTTTTTTACTTCTTATTTAGGATGATCAGTAATAAACTGAGTGAACGACAGTGGCTTTTATTTCCCAAACAAAGTATTCAGAAACAACCAATTTTAGGACACAATATTCAACATTTTACATATTTCCAACTGTGCTACTTTCCATTTCAACCCTCCTAACCACCGGTATATTCCATTTTCATATGCCCCATAAATACCACATATAGTTTTTTTTGGTTTTTTTTCATTTCATTTTTATTTATTTTTTTATTATTAAGGAACCAGATGTTCATTTTAAGAAAAATAAAACCAAATAATAAAACATCAATAAAAAAATGTAATTATGCATTAACAGCATGATTCACAGATTTCCAACTAAAAGGTTTATGTTAAATGACGTGTCATTATATTTGTTTTATGCTTTGTTTTGCTTTTTTGTACAATGTTGTGCTCTAGAGAGTTTTATTCATTGAGATAGAAGTAATTTGTAACTCTGTTAGGTGGATGAACATATGTATGTAAACATTGCTGTTCTGTAGAAATGGCAATGTTCACATTGCAAGGTTAACACGCATCTAACGGTTGTTAAATAGCCACTTTCTTTGCTATAATCAGGTCAAACTCGGTTATAGATCAAATGCTAGTCATAGAGTATACACACTAGCCTCTCAGTGATTCCCTATGGGGAAGCACTGAATTAGCTGAGATTATCAATCTTATTTCACAGTCTGTTTAATTTAGGATTTCAGAAGGTGTGGCTAGGGCTGTATGAACAGAAACAAAAGTGATTTAACACCTAAATGGCAGAGAATTGAGCAGTTAGACTTTATGGCATGATCTATACACTATAACTGCTTCATGAAGCTTAAGTTGTTTTGGTGCTTAGTTAGTGTATCTATTGGAACCACAAATTAAACATCGCAAATAGTGATGTACAAAGTAATATTGATATAAATGATTTATAAATATAATGTAAAGACATGTATAATGCATAACGTACATAATACATTGCTGTTTGTATGGGACGATCTTGGAAGAAATGTAAGTATTCTATTCCTTCTAAAATCGCAATTAACTCTGTTCATGCAAACAGTGGAAAATAAAAAGGAAGACAGTTGGAAACGGGTATATCCTAATACACAAACATCTATCTACGGGGTAATTACAGTTTGAATATCATTGCACTGGTGTCTAAATAACTAATTGTGTATATGGGGGGAGCCTGCTGTTTTGGTGAACACTCAGCTATTACTTATCATTTTGGTTGCTACAGGGCACACAAGACAAGCAGTATTAATTGATAGTTCCCTCAGCATAATCACCTATTACTCTGGGTATGACAGTGAAGGTGGTTGGAACAAAACAAAATCAGTGCATTTATCAAATGAAAGAATGGCACATGTATGCATACTGTAACTGCGTCTTACATCTGCAGCAACTTACAATAGTCACAAAATATATAAGCCCACCACCTTCCTCTATGATTCTTATGGCTGCACATATCTTTAAATCAGCAGCATGGGTGGTTAAACCTTTTCCTGGTCAGGACTTTGAAGGAAGTCACATTTACAGCAAATTCAGGAACTTAAATTGTATCTTGTTTCTATTTTAGATGTTTGCATAGTTGTTAATACATTATCTACATGTCTCTACCACATAATAGGATCAACACTAAACTGTAGCGACACAGTGAAGGCACAATCTGTAGGACATTACATTCTTTGGAACATGAGTTATACTGAATGAATAGGAAATTCCATTATATGGAACAGCTAAAGAATATTGGGTAAGAGCTTGCATGCTACAGAGCTCAGCAAGTGATAAATGAGTTGAACGTTGTGTTCTGTAGAACTCAGCTAGTGTTAAATGAGTAGGATATCCCATTCAAAGAGCCCAGCTGGTGTTAAATGAGTAGGGCATTGCATTCTCTAGATATGGCTAATGTTAATCATGTAGAACATCCCATTCAATATATCTGGCTGTTACATGAGTAGGACATTTCATTTTACAGCGTGCAGGAAGGGCTAAATGTGAGGGACATTCCGGTGCTAAATGCACCAAGTGCAGCATCCACATCTCTGCTTCTGACACTTGTAAAAGGAGTACATTATAGAGGTTATAGCGCAGTGTGTCTTTAGGTGCCATTTTACTGGTCAGTGTCAAACCATTTTTGAGCAATTAGCTAAGACTGGGGCTCTCTTGACACTTAAAGCGTGCCTCTTAGCTTCAGGTGAGCGGACTCCTGCATTAGACATTTAGCTTTGGATGACAAAACTTTACTGAGATTGGTGGTGGGAGGTGCGAGCTGTCCGTCCATCCGTCCGTACAGATGTATCTATCTATTTATCTATCTATCTATCTGTCTATCGTTTGATCTAAAATACAAGAACATGCTCATTACATCTGTTGTTTACCAATCTGAAGCTTTCTCTTACCATTTCTCACCTGAAATTTATTTTTATTACAAGCGAATGCATCTTCCAGACAAAAAAGTGAAAACTATTATTTAAAACAACTACTTATGTCTCTATTGTCCTTGCACACAATATCTTTGAAATAACTGAATACATACACAATTTAACATATTATTTCATTAAATACTCTTATACTACTTCCTAAGACGCCTTCCTCCTGCTTGATATTGCAGAAGGTCTTGATGGTAAGGTATGTCGTTTTGCTGATGATACTAAGATATGTAACAGGGTTGATGTTCCAGGAGGGATAAGCCATGTGGCAAATGATTTAGGTAAACTAGAAAAATGGTTGTGGCAACTGACATTTAATGTGGATAAGTGCAAAATAATGCATCTTGGACGTAAAAACCCAAGGGCAGAGTACAGAATATTTGATAGAGTCCTAACCTCAACATCTGAGGAAAGGGATTTAGGGGTGATTATTTCTGATGGCTTAAAGGTAGGCAGACAATGTATAGGGAGAGGTATTAGCAGTAGAAAGAGGGAAGTGCTCATGCCATTGTACAGAACACTGGTGAGACCTCACTTGGAGTATTGTACACAGTACTGGAGACCGTATCTCCAGAAGGATATTGATACTTTAGGGCGAGTTCCGAGAAGGGCTACTAAACTTGTTAATGGATTGCTGGATAAAACTTACAAGGAAAGGTTAAAGGAACTTAACATGTATAGCTTGGAGGAAAGATGAGACAAGGGGGATATGATAGAAACATTTAAATATATAAAGGGAATCAACACAGTAAAGGAGGAGACTATATTTAAAAGAAGAAAAACTACCACAACAAGAGGACATAGTCTTAAATTAGAGGGACAAAGGTTTAAAAATAATATCAGGAAGTATTACTTTACTGAGAGGGTAGTGGATGCATGGAATAGCCTTCCAGCTGAAGTGGTAGAGGTTAACACAGTAAAGGAGTTTAAGCATGCGTGGGATAGGCATAAGGCTATCCTAACTATACGATAAGGCCAGGGACTAATGAAAGTATTTAGAAAATTGGGCAGACTAGATGGGCCGAATGGTTCTTATCTGCCATCACATTCTGTGTTTCTATGTTTCTATCTAGTTTCTAGAGGACAAATTTCTTGAATATATTCAACAGGAATGATTGTTAAATTTACCTCGCCCTTTTTGTTGTACTGGTTTAGAATGAGTTCCTGTCTTTTTCTTGCTATTCTCCTATCTATACATATATATTAAATATGTATCTAGTCCTATACTATTTGAAGAAGTGATGTGCATGCTCTAATTATATATATATATATTACAGATTTTATTCACAGTGTGATTAGTTTTATCACAGTTATTAATCCCCATTCATGCATCAATTCCAATACCTTTATAGTTATAGAAAAAAAATATTTTGTAGTACAATTGCCATGGATCTGACATGATACAGGTAGATGTCAGTATACATGGGTATTGGGTATAAGTCTCAGCAACCTTCTAAATACAATAAGACCTCTCTAAATGCTAACCCTTCAATAGCCTGCCTCTAATTATGTAATTTTCACCAAATTATTCTAATCTAATAACATTCAGTCTTCATAGAATCCTTAAAATTATCAAATTTTTCTAAAATAATACATTAGAATATATTAGTTATAGTGGAGGAATTCATAATTATAATGGAAGAATTTCAAATAAAATATATTTGTAAAAGCAAAGCATTGATGTGGGACTCGAGAATCATCAAGTAAATGAGTTATGTGAAGGAGTTGGCTCAGGAAATCATGATCCTTCACATCGACACACAGAGAATTTTCCTGGTAATCTTTAGATCCTGAGATTCTGCTTATTCAACTCAAGATCATGAGAATCTGCCCATTCACCTTGAGAGTCTAAAAGTGTGCCCATTTACCCTGAGAATCTGCCTATTTACTCTGAGACCCTGGGAATTGGTCCATTTACCCTAAGACACTGAGAATCACTCATTCACCTCGAAGTTCTACCCTGTGCCCAAACAAATCTTCCAATTCGTATTTAGAATGTGCCCCAGACACCTGATACCTCCACCTGTAACTCTGAGAATCTGCCAAGTCACCACATGACCTTGAAACCAAAGTTAAAATTGACTTAGGACAAACTCAGTTGTCAATTATCCCTGTAAAGATTAAAATTTTAAGGAGATCCAGAAAAAACTGAATAGAATCTCTTTTACATATACTTAACACGTATAATCTGTCACTGATATTACATAAATCCTTAAAATTATCACGTTGTTCCAACATAGTATATTTGTTATATTTGAGGAATTTATACTTATAATTTATACTTATATATATATGAGCCTAAAAATGTGCTCATTTACCCTGCAAATCTGCCTATTTACTTGAGATACTGAGAATCACTCATTCACCCTAAAGTTCTACCCCCCAAAAAAATCTTTTAATTCATCCTGAGAATATGATTGCTTTTCAAAATTCACACCTCCGATAAGTACAGAGCCCCCTATCATACACTTACCATTAGTACAGAGCTCCCCATTATACAGACACATTTCCAATCTGTACAGAGACCCCTGTTATTAAGATCCCCAGAAAAGAGGCTCTTCTATTTTAAAGACACTCGTAGTCCTAACAGTAAAGAGACTCCATGTTATCAAGACACATTCTTATTAGTGAAGAGACTCTCTATTATACACACTTCCTATTAGTAAAGTGGCCACCTTATTATAAAGACACATTTCTTATTATTAAAGAGACCACCTTAAAATAAAGACACACTTCTTATTAGTAAAGAGACCACCTTAAAATAAAGACACACTTCTTATTAGTAAAGAGACCACCTTAAAATAAAGACACACTTCTTATTAGTAAAGAGACCACCTTAAAATAAAGACACACTTCTTATTAGTGAAGATTCCCTGTTATAAAGACACACTTCCTATCACTAAAAAAAAACCCTGTTATAAAGACACACTTCTTATCACTATAAATACTCCCTGTTATAAAGACACACTTCCTATCAATATAAATACCCCCTATTATACCGACACTTCCTATCACTAGTAATACCCCCTGTTATAAAGACACACTTCCTATCACTATAAATACCCCCTGTTATAAAGACACACTTCCTATCACTATAAATACTCCCTGTTATAAAGACACACTTCCTATCAATATAAATACCCCCTATTATACCGACACTTCCTATCACTAGTAATACCCCCTGTTATAAAGACACACTTCCTATCACTATAAATACCCCCTGTTATAAAGACACACTTCCTATCACTATAAATACCCCCTGTTATAAAGACACACTTCCTATCACTATAAATACTCCCTATTATAAAGACACACTTCCTATCACTATAAATACTCCCTATTATAAAGACACACTTCCTATCACTATAAATACTCCCTATTATAAAGACACACTTCCTATCACTATAAATACTCCCTATTATAAAGACACACTTCCTATCACTATAAATACCCCCTGTTATAAAGACACACTTCCTATCACTATAAATACCCCCTGTTATAAAGACACACTTCCTATCACTATAAATACTCCCTGTTATAAAGACACACTTCCTATCACTATAAATACCCCCTATTATACAGACACTTCCTATCACTAGTAATACCCCCTTTTATAAAGACACACTTCCTATCACTATAAATACCCCCGTTATAAAGACACACTTTCTATCACTATAAAGACCCCCTGTTATAGACACACTTCCTATCACTATAAAGACCCCCTATTATAAAGACACACTTCCTATCACTATAAATACTCCATGTTATAAAGACACACTTCCTATCACTATAAATACCCCCTGTTATAAAGACACACTTCCTATTACTATAAATACCCCCTGTTATAAAGACACACTTCCTATCACTATAAATACCCCGTTATAGACACACTTCCTACCATTATAAAGACCTCCTGTTATAATGACACTTCCTATCACTATAAATACTCCCTGTTATAAAGACACACTTCCTATCAGAGATCCCGTATTATACAGACACACTTTCTATCAGCTCAGAGACCCCCTATTATACAGACAGACTTCCTATCAGTATGGAGACCCCCTATTATACAGACACACTTCCTATCAATATGGAGACCCCCTATTATACACACACACTTCCTATCATTTAAGAGACCCCCTATTATACACAAACACTTCCTATCAGTATGGAGACTCCCTATTATACAGACACACTTCCTATCAGTATGGAGACCCCCTATTATACAGACACACTTCCTATCAGTACAGAGACCCCCTATTATAAAGACACACTTCCTATCAGTACGGAGACCCAATATTATACAGACACACTTCCTATCAGTACAGAGACCCCCTATTATACAGACACACTTCCTATCAGTATGGAGACCCCCTATTATACAGACACACTTCCTATCAATATGGAGACCCCCTATTATATGGACACACTTCCTATCAGTATGGAGACCCCCTATTATACACACACACTTCCTATCATTACAGAGACCCCCTATTATACACACACACTTCCTATCAGTATGGAGACTCCCTATTATACAGACACACTTCCTATCAGTATGGAGACCCCCTATTATACAGACACACTTGCTAACAGTACAGAGACCCCTATTATACAGACACACTTCCTATCAGTATGGAGACCCTATATTATACAGACACACTTCCTATCAGTACGGAGTCCCCCTATTATACAGACACACTTCCTATCAGTACGGAGACCCCCTATTATACATACACCCTTCCTATCAGTACGGAGTCCCCCTATTATACACACATCCTTCCTATCAGTAAGGAGACCCCCTATTATACAGACACACTTGCTAACAGTACGGAGACCCCTATTATACAGACACACTTCCTATCAGTACGGAGACTCCCTATTATACAGACACACTTCCTATCAGTACGGAGACCCCCTATTATACAGACACACTTTCTATCAGTACGGAGACCCCGTATTATACAGACACACTTGCTAACAGTACAGAGACCCCTATTATACAGACACACTTCCTATCAGTACAGAGACCCCCTATTATACAGACACACTTCCTATCAGTACGGAGACCCCCTATTATACAGACACACTTTCTATCGGTACGGAGACCCCCTATTATACAGACACACTTCCTATCAGTACGGAGACCCCGTATTATACAGACACACTTGCTAACAGTACATAGACCCCTATTATACAGACACACTTGCTAACAGTACATAGACCCCTATTATACAGACACACTTCCTATCAGTACGGAGACCCCTTATTATACAGACACACTTCCTATCAGTACGGAGTCCCCCTATTATACAGACACACTTGCTAACAGTACGGAGACCCCTATTATACAGACACACTTCCTATCAGTACGGAGACCCCATATTATACAGACACACTTCCTATCAGTACGGAGTCCTATTATACAGACACACTTCCTATCAGTACGGAGACCCCCTATTATACAGACACACTTCCTATCAGTATGGAGACCCCCTATTATACAGACACACTTCCTATCAGTATGGAGACCCCCTATTATACAGACACACTTCCTATCAGTATGGAGTCCCCCTATTATACAGACACACTTTCCATCAGTACGGAGACCCCCTATTATACACACACCCTTCCTATCAGTACGGAGACCCCCTATTATACAGACACACTTGCTAACAGTACAGAGACACCCATTTATACAGACACACTTCCTATCAGTACAGAGACCCCCTATTATACAGACACACTTCCTATCAGTACAGAGACCCCCTATTATACAGACACACTTCCTATCAGCATGGAGACTCCCTATACAAAGAGTTGGTACTTGTATGTGTACTAAGATTACCTAATGTGACCTGTGATTCCTGTTTATATTGCATTTCCCTATTGTCGCTGATCTCCTATAACTTTATATCCCACTCCCTCTGTGTCTAGATCTGACATTTCGTAATACAAAAGTATGAAACTTGCAATAGTAACAGTCAGAATCATTCTCCAAGGAAAGTGTTGCAGTAATTGCCCCAGGTAGGTGGTGTACTTTACCTGCTGTCCAGTCAATAATGTCCCCCTGCTCAGAAGATGATCTGTAGGTTGCTATCAGCCTCACAGAGGGAGAAGTGTTCGCCTTGTGTCTCGGATACACTGCAGATTCAATATCAGTCAGTTCTCCCTGTGCTCAGCCTCTCAGCAGCCTCCTCTATATATACCTCCCTGTCCCAATTATGGAAATATCTGTGATGTAATTTGGGGTATGTCTTCCTTTAAAAATATACAAATTATATATTTATATCTATTTGATGTCAGAAATGATGTCTCAGATTTCCTTTAACCCTATCTACTCATGGTGGTGAATGCCCTGAGGCGATTTAAACACAAGTAATAAAAACTGGAAATAAACCCACCTTGTGGACCAACGAGCACTGGAGGCTGCAAAATAAATCAAATCAAATATAAAGGCAAGGGTTTGCTAATTCACCATAGAGCAAGGCTGGCATTTTCTTAGAACTTTGTCAAAGAGAGGGTTAATATAGAAATAGCCCTAGCAGGCTTGTTGAAAAGACTGTCATTTGTGGTCAGGATCGGGTGCAATGGACCTAAATGTGAGGATTTTAACTAATTAGCAAGAGGGGGAGGACAAGGAAAAACTAATTTAGTACAAATAGAAGCACACAGATCACAGAATGAAAGACTTCAGTGTCGTAAGAGAAGAATTGCAGAAACCTTTACCAGATCTACAACAGGCTGATTCCCACACTGACGGGTCACAAAAGAATGACAGAAACCATTCCCAGACCCACAGCAGACTGGTTCCCCCATGTAGAGGTCTCCGAAGAATGACAAAAATCATTCCCACACCTACACCAGGCTGATTCATGCAGACAGATCACAGCAAAATAAAACAAATCAAATCAAGGACCACATCAAACTGGTTCATGCAAGTAACAGGTCTCAGAAAAATAACAGAAATCATTCCCTGACCTAGGCCAGGCTGAATCATAGACAGACAAAAGACAGCAGAATTATATAAATTAGTATGTCAGACTCACATGAGGCTGGCCTATACAAAGACAGAATTCTTCAAAAAAACGAAATAGATTCATACATAGACAGGTCACACGGAAATTAGAAATCATTCCCAAACCTTTGTCAAGCTTGTTCATGCACAGGCAGGTCTAAACTGACCTGCAGAAATCATTCACCACTGATCATTCACCCAGATCAGTCTGATGCTAACTTAGATAGGTTGCTAAAGAATGACAGAGCTCATTCCCGGATTCACTTCAGGTTATACACAGATCTCAGCAAAATAACAAAAATCATTCCTAGACCTACACTACACTGGTTCATTCACAAGCTGGTCTTTGCAGAACAATAGAAGCAATTCCAAAATCCACAAGTTTCTTCACATAGAGACAGGTCACAGTGAATTGACAAAATATTGAGTCAGACAAAAATCAGGATGGTTCACAAAAAGACAGGTTACAGTGGAATAACAGAAATCTTTCCCAGACCCACATCAAACATCAAGCTGGTTCACGAACAGAGACAGGTATAAGCTGAGTAATAGGTACCATGCCCACATCAGGCGCACTAGTTCAGGTTAACACACAGACAGGTCACAGCAGAATCACAGTAATCAGTATAAGACTACCATTAGGCTGCTTTATACACAGGCATATCACAAAGAAAAAATACAAAAAGATAAAACAGGTTTGCGACAAAATACAATAAAAAAAACAATGGATTAAAAGAACAATAGAAATTAAAACCTTGTTTAGTATATGTGATTATAAGAGAAAGTCCAAAGTGCATAGACCATGACATGTGAACAGTCGTTATTCGGCAGGTGCTATATAACCCCGCAACCTTAATAAAACACGGACACCAAACTTTCTGTTGGAGTATAAAGTCAATAGCTTTATTAAATTATTTATTTATATAAACGTAACAAAATTTTAGGGTCATTGCCAAGTGATAATTATGTTACAATCTCCCCCCAAACAACAATACCCCTGACAATGACCCTACCAATGAACAATAAATAACATTCCACATAACACATAACTTATAACACACGGCCTACCAAAGAGGCCCCACATCCATGTGGTTAAACTGTAGGGGTGTACCAAGACACCCCTACACCCCTAGGTTCGTAGCCACCAATGAGCTTGAATCTACCAAACACTTTTCCACTCCTGCCTACTCCAGCCTAGACCTTGGCCTGCCCACTTCCTATTCCACCTAAATTCTATATAACCCACGCCCTTTTCCACGCCCTTTGACCAAACGGGAAACTACCCCAAAACCATAGGGAGGGTGGGAGGGACAACTAACGGGTAAGTGAGACTTAAGATTAAAATGGCCACTCACTAAGATGGCCGCTATATAAACCCTTACTCTCCTCCCCCCAAACCAAATTATTAATTTTTTCGCCCCCTTACTATTAACGCCACCTGCCCACTCTCTGGCCCTGTCAAGGCCCACTCCCTTACTGCGTTGTTCCATGGGCTTCAGTCCAGTAGTTGCCAAATGCTCTTGATTCTATTTAGGTTTGCTGTTATTGTCCGACGGTATATGTAAAAGCAAGTAAGAACACACAACAATCATGTGTAAGTAACCCACTCACATTCTGCGGATCTACCAACAAGCCAAGCTTGCATGTTGTGGTGTAATTCCCACTAGTGCTTATGGTGGCCGGATATAAGGTTCAATTGATATACTGTGTTGCATATGTAAAAACAATGTTAGACATAGGGTGGTATTATCCCAACCTTAAGAATATCTATGGGTGGCAGGGACTTCACTTGTATGGATTAAACCAAAAAAGGAGAAACTCAATAAAGTGCTCACTGCTTTAAAAGACAATTACAAAATATTGAAGGTGTACTCACAATAGGTTGAGCAGTATCACATGCTTAATGTTTCCAGCTATTGTGGTACCGTCCTGGCCAAGGATCTGGTGTCTGGTGTCCTTGTGGTGTTACTTGTAAAGGTATAATTAGTATAAAATAACAATAAAAAAATAAAATACAGTTTATCCAAAGCTGGATTGAAAGCTATGTCTTTAGTAAACTGTAAAAATCATTCATAATGCATTTCACCTGTTACAAACGCTTTATCAAATGAATCACAGACATACTTGACACAAAAGAATGTACAGGGGAAGCAAAATGTTTAAACTGCAGCAAAATGACGTCACGGTCATGTGATCACGATCCAGGTCACATGACCACGTAGGGAGTACACAGATAACCACGTTTGTTTTAATATGGACAACTAAATAAAATATAAAATATGGAAAAATGTAGGGCTACTAAAAAAGAGGAGAAATGTATGCTTCTAAAACGAGAGTGTGAGACATTGGAACAATGCGTCACGTGAGTAGCAAGTATTGAAAACATTTTTATAAACACGCCGAATAGGGCAAACCAAGGTGGTTGGGAACTGTCCATAACCTAGAGCTGCCAGAATTTATTCCCAGACCCACACAGATTTTACATGGACAAATGACAGAAATCATTCCCAGACCCACAACAATCCGATTCATAAATATACAGGTAACACATCAAGATCATTTATACACAAACAAGTCTATTCTGAATGACAAAACAATTTCCAGATCCCCATCAACATTAAGCTAGTTCTTACACAGTGGTCACAGCGGAATTACAGAAACCAGTTTTAGTTGTTACATGTGTTTCCATGGCTAAATCCTAAGTGTCCTGCCTTTCTTAATTAAAACGAGTCTGTTTTAGACCATATTTCTTGAATAGAAGAACCTTAAATGTGACACCAACCACCATGACCACTTCTGCTTTTAGAGCATGTGTTCTTGGCTGATGAGAACAGTCCTATCAAATGCTTCTCTTTGAGAAACGTTTTATTAAACCTTTGAAGGGCAGCAGTGATGTCAGAGCAGACGTGGAACCCAGCATGGGAAACTTTGCCTAGCGCTAAATTCCAGATAAAATTAACTTGGTTTTACAGGGTTTTATGGGGGCGGGACGACACCTAATAGTAATGCCCAATAGGCCATTTTACCTGATTAAAAAAAGTTAGAGTTACCCTTTAAAATGTTTACCCCTATATATTGGTTGAATTGAGAATAGGAAAACCTTACTCTCCTGGTATACAGACTGGGTAATTATGCAGGTCCTTACTGTCATTTACTTTGATTTATTTTATTGGTTCAACTGGGTTTAATTATATTTAATGCTTTGTCCAGCTAATGCTGTGCTAATTGAAGGTGATGTCACTGCATGCTGGAGCCTCTATTGGCCAAATAGCTTGATCAATTTTCATGTTTACCTGCACTCTTTATGACATTGCCAATTAAGTAAATTGTTCATTTTGATAATTACTTGTTAACTTTAAGTGTATGCCCTATATAAATTGTTTGCTTATAGCAGTAGCTTAACAAAGGCCTCTGTGGAGGTCGAAATGTTGCTGTGTTTCCTCCAATAACCTTGAATGCCTAGACCAGGGGTAGGCAACATTCTGCACTCCAGGTGTTGTGAACTACATCTCCCATGATGCTTTATACCTGTAAGTGTAAAAACATCTGAAGTGCCAAAGGTTGTCTACGCCTGGCCTAGACCATCCTTTACAAGTTTACTGACGACAAATTTTCAGATTTTCAGTGGAATCTCATACATTAAACAGTTTTATGTAGCTGCATGATATAAAGCAAGCTACATGGATGAGTGTTTTTTTCCTGAATACCCATTGAGATGTACACCCATCACAGTGTGACAGGAAGCATACTATTGGTAACATTTGTAATTCAGCATAGAAAATCCACGCATTCGTTTATTTTCTGGTGCAATCGCCTTGGTAACTGACTGACAATTCCTTTTGGATTTTTTCCAGGTCAAAGAAATGATTACTATAATTATTGTTTTTACAAAGCAATGCACTTGTGGACATTCCAATTAGACAGGGGCGGACTGACCGGTCGGGCACTTCGGACATGGTCCGAGGGCCCGACCGGGAGGGGGGCCCGCCGCCAGGGCCGCCTTCAGGGGGCCCGGCGGCAGGGCTGGATTGGGGGCAGCATCTGGGGACTTCAGAGGAAGGTGCCACTGGGTGGCACACTGTTAGGGGGCCGGCCGCGTTTCATGCTGGAGCCGCCGGACCGGGTGGCAGCCTCACCAGTCCGGCGGCA